GATTGTTGACATATTCATTATACCATTTGTTACTTTGTAATATCTGTATTTCAATTTGTCGTTTTGGTTGAGTGCAATGCCTTTTGCTACGGCGAATAAATTTTGCGGCGCGGCATATACGCTGCGAGTACGGTAAAAGGGAGAAGGGACGAGAAGGGTTGAGAACGAGGCTGTGGGGGTTGTCATGGGCCCGTATACATATATATCTGTTGCTATATTATATCTACGTATATATATTTATCTATTTATTTATATATATATATATATATATATGCAAGATGTCTCCCTCGAAACTATTGCCGCTCGTTTTGTTTATAGATTTCTTGATCAATTTGGAATCGATCTTAAAATTAATTTTATGTCATGTCTCATTTAGTAAGCTTAGTACAATTAGTTCTAAATATCTTTATATAAGCTAGCCTCATAATCAAATTATAGCACAGTTTATTTGAAAACAATTAACGAATCACCTTTCGCTACTTATTTTCCGAGATTTACTTTATCATAAATTATGTCGCTTATGTTTAAAACATTTACATGAATAATTAAAATACGATTTATCTACTTATAATTATTTCTATTTATCAAATTTCTATTCTCCGATTCTTGATCAAAAAATTCATATGTAGAAGGAATGGCGATAACTCGAGGACACTCTGTATACATATATATATATATTTATACATCGTAACACACTCAAATAGTTTGTCATACATGTGCCTGGGGTGCGCGGCGCGCCAAACAAAAATGAGCGTCAACTTCTTGTGAATACCGTCTTGTGTGCTACCGAGAAGCGTTAGCTTCTCGCCACGCCGGAGACACTTTCTCCTCCGAATGAATGGAATTTATGAATTAGAACACTGAAGGAAAGAAAGAGAGAGAGAGAGAGAGAGAGAGAATAGAGAGACAGAGAAAGAGAGAGAGAGAGAGAGAGGGACCTCTTTTAGTCGCAACACGTGCTTATAGTAGTGTCAAAAGAACAAGCTTGCCTGTACTTTCTTTATTTCTTTTTTTTTTATCGAAAACTTAGATGCATTAGAAAGAATTAGTCGTCAAAGGGAGACAGAAAGAAGGGAGCACGATACGAAGGTTATCCAATAAGATTTTTTTTCTTGTTCGTTCAAGATAACCGTGGCGCTTGTCCGTTTTTAAAACGACGTGCTACGAAATATATGTATATATATATATATATATATATATATGTCCGTACATATACATATGTATATACACATATATCTATATAATAGACATATATACATATATGTAATATATGTGTGCATCTGTGTATCCTGCAGATCGAGTAATGTCAAAGACGTTTTATCGCGCGTTATTGTGATATACATGGTAGTATAGTTACTACAGTTAATAATTCATGTATGTATATATATATATATATATATATATATATATATATATATATAT